TTGAATCCAACGACGGCGAGTCTTCGACTAAGCGGCGTAGAAAGTGTTGCGGCCTGCCGTTGTGGGCCTTCATTCTCATCGTCTTCCTCATTCTGGGAATCATCGCCGCCGCCATCATCGTCCCCCTCGAATTCTTCGTGTTCCGCAAGAACCGGTCTGCGACTCCTCCAGCGGCGGAGCCGGCTCTGACCCAGTGCCAGAACCAGCTCAAGTGTGAGAATGGCGGAACCAACGTCGTATCGCAAAATGTCTGCTCCTGTATTTGTATAAACGGGTTCACGGGGCAGACCTGCACCGTGGCCGGAGCCACAGGCTGCACCACCACCAACCTCTCGGGGAACTCTACCTCGACTAATTTTAGTAATGTCACTCTCGGTCAGGCGGTTCCGCGGCTACTGCAGCAATCACAGACAAACTTCACAGTCCCTCTGGATGGTACCGACATTCTCGCAAAGTTCAACACGGAAAGCCTGTCATGCATTGCGCAGAACTCGCTCGTCACGTTCGACGGACGTTCAACTCGCACTGGAACTGTCGGTTCAGACACGGATCTCAACGCTAAGGGCGCCATTCCTGTTCAGATCATCACCATTCTCCCAGGGCAGGCAGCAACCATCACGATTGATGTCAACGCACCGGGAGGCGTGATTCTGCCCTCGCCAGATATTGTTGGTGGATTCACAACACTGACAGGTCCCTTCCATGTCACAACCATCCATGCGTCCAGCTCGACCATGTGGGCTACTATTCCCATGGTGCCTTCACCAACACCAACCCCGGAGACGACATCCTCTGCGGCCCCGCCGGCCACTACGGTCCCGCCTACGACGATACCAACGACAACCACGTCTGAGACCCCTCTGGTCCCCTCGGTACCAGTGTCTTCTGCACCGGCACCCAGCCCGACCTTTACAGTCACCGAGGAGACTTTGGACTTTGCCCGTGTCTCGATTCTTCTCATCCTCCAGAGGCAAACCTTGATGGCGGCGACAACGGCACAGACGGTCTTGCAGCGTTTCTTCACGACTGCGGATCAAGGCACTCGGCAGCAAAGCGGCGGGGTTACCCCTGCCCAGGCATTGAACGTGACACTTGGCGGAGGCAACTCAGTGGACCTGGTCAATTTCCTCATCACCATCCCAGGAGGCATTCAAGTTGGCCGCAAGAGCAGCTGAGAGACCAACACACAAAAATCAACTACAACCAACCGCACAATGGTCGTTGACGGCGTGCCGAGGCGTGCGTGGGAAAGAAAAAAAAATGTACATAGATATGACGCTTAATGAGGTGACTCGGTGCTCCTTCTTTTTGGTAGGGGGAATCGGGCGGTATGACAGATGTGTAGGCACGCCGGCCGACCATTTTGTATAAAAAAATTCTGGTGCGTTTTCTTATTTCTACGAGCGGAGGAAATTTTGGCACGCATAGCATCTCGTCGTGTACGAGTAAGTAAGCGAGGGCGTTGGAACTGAGAAGGGTAGTCGAAGGAGCTATGTAGATACCACTGATATCAATCAAGACATAATCAGGTGTACACACATGACTACACTCGTTGGCGAAGTAAAGAAATGAAGCATTAGGATGACTATCGCCGTGTCCGAGATATGACTTGGAGGAAAATATGACAAACTGGGTTGGCACGTTGGTTACTGGTCACGATGTCGACAGTGCACTTCTGGAAGTGTGGAACACCCGATGGGATGTCATGGTAGATCGTCGGGATCGCCGCGGAGGGTTTAATCTCAGTGAACCAAGGAATGGAAATCGGCGGACTTTGTGCCGTTCACTTTGAGTTGCTCTTCTTCGCGATGCCCGACAGGCTTAGTCCTAGTTCCGAGAGTTGAATGCCAGAGGATGTCGATAGGTGGTTCAATACCCGGACCTTTGGTAACTAGAAGCTTAATGCAGTCTGTTAATTCACGATTAAGAGAGAAAGTCGCGCATAGAGGTGAGGACAGGCCGTGGGTCCCACAATTGAAGCTTTCAAAGGCACGTTGGCGGTTTTCTTTTTCTTTTTTTTTTTTTTTTTTTTTTTTTTTTTTTTTTTTTGCAATTGACCAGCGCGCCGTTTTCCCTTCCTCGGGTTAATTGATTGGAGCGTTTTAAGAAGAGAGGTATCGGAAGGGGTGGGATAGCCTTTCTTTCTTTTTTGCGATTTTGTGTTTCCCCAGCATGTTGATTTGACTGGATGGAGTACGGAGTACGGATGCAAGATTGAAGGAAGGTTGTGTACACTGTACGACCATCGAGAGCAACTGATAATTTGCCAAATTGCTGTTGTGCCACATTCAACTAAGTACACAATGTTGGACTTGGCCTCATGAGGCTGAGGGGGAGAGTCTTGACGACCAAAGATACGGGCTTTTTTTCAAGGGTTTTGCCAAGTCGCCGGAAGTTGAGATGGGCGGGAGGTTTGCGCTAGGATGGATTGAGCATGGGCAAGTGTCTTGTTAAGTTTCTTTCCGAGAAACTTTGCTATTCATGTAGTCAGTTGCAGGTGGGGGGTATGTGCAGAAAAGTTGGTCTTTCTTGGCGGGTTGAAGTTTGATATCCTTTCGTGGTGGCCTGAGCGTTTTCTCGATGTCTCTCTCTTTTTTCGCTTTGAACTCTTGACTATCTTGGAGCATCTGGAATTATCTTTCATAGCAAAATGTAGGTAGGTGCATTCCGCTGTACCCGTACGTTGGCCCCGCGGAGAGTCCGCCTCTTTTTTTTTTTTCTTTTTTTTTTTTTTTTTTTGGCGCCCCCGCTGGGAATCTCTGAGTCTCGATGCTCACCCACATTGTGGTCCTGGACTCCTCGTCTGCCGGGGGCCACAGCAGGGTCGAGAATGGCGAAACTGAAGTGCCCCCAGCCCGGTTATCTCAGGGCAAGGAAACATGGTCCCCATCAACGGCGGTAGTAGTTGGTAGCGCGGGGGAGAGCCCAGAGTCCCCCGGGCGAAGTTTCCTCGATCATGGGCATATACTGTCGTCTGTCTCTGCTAGACTGCTCCGAGTGCCGTTCCTCCAACCTCTACTCCGTATTCCTGAGTGGATAGGAGTCTCTCACACACACTCTCTCTCTCAGTCTGTGGCGCTGCGCTCTCTCACTCTCACTCTCACTTTCCCACGCACTAACAGATCCTCCCCCCTTCTCCACCTAAACACCCCTGCGATTTCTCGACCCCCTTTCCAGGCGCAGGCGTGCCAGAGCAAGGGTTCCTGCATCGGTGCCAATCCTTCCCTTCCCAAGTCCTTCCCCCCGTGCCCCCCTCCTCCATCCCCTCCACCTGCGTGCCCTGCGGCGGTGCCTGCCAGTGCCTGCCAACCTGCTTGGTTGCAGATGCCGTTCGCTTGAGCCTTGGGGGGCCAGAGTGGATTTCCCTCAGTGGATGAGGGAATCGGTTCAAGGGTGATTGCGGCACCATGGGCGGGCTGTTTGTCCGGTGTCCCACAGAGGAAGGGGGAGAGAAGGACAAAATATGGGAATAAGGACTGGAACGATGTTCCTCAAAGTCCAAAAATCCGGACTGAAGTGTCAGCCAAAAACGTGTTCGTCGGGTTATCTTGAAACCCATCATCCGTTCTGGACCGTCCCGAACCCCCTGAAGTTGTCTGTCAAATTTCGTAGGAGAACGGTGACCTCTCACGGAGAGACATGCCAGACACAGCCACACAGCCTCCCTCGTCTTCGTAGCACGCGCACAGTAGCAGCAGCTATCAGAGTGACAGAGGAGGCTTTGCGCAAAGATGCAAAGAACGCGACTACGGTCATCGTGTCGCAGTCCGGCGCGCGTTACCACGTCGGCTCACCTGCATCACATAGCACGCATCCAACGGAAAATAAGGTAGACTCGCCCGTCCCTCCCATCCCGCCATGCCCACCATCCACTTCGTGGCTCTTCCCCCCCCTCCCCCTTTGCTAAGAAGGGCCAGCTAAGCCGCCCATTGAGGCTGTGGAGGGGACGAACCATTCTCCAGGAGTCCAGTCTGTCCAGACGCCAGAGAGGGAGGAGAAACCGTCAAGTACCTTACACTATGGATAAGCAGGTACTGTCTAGCGTAGATGACCCCCAGAGAGTACTTACTTTGCAACAGACACACACACCCACATCTGCAGAACGCACTTGGGTCCTGAGAGTAGCAATGAATAGCAACAGAGCCCACTTGGCGCCAGCGGATGCCGCTGATGGCTGCAGCATCATTACTCTAATCCCGGCCGCGCCCTGTTGGGCCTGGCCTTGGAGCAGCAGGACGAGGAAGAAGAGGCAAAGAGACACCAGCCGGGGACGGCAACTGGACTGGGCTTTTGCTTTTTGGCTCACAAGTGGGTTGGCTGCTCATCCTGGATGACCCCTTCCTTGCTCTCTCCCTCGCTCTCAATCTGCCGCCATCTCACTTTACCTTACCTTCTTGTTCCTTGGCTTGGCTTACTTACTTTCTCTTCCTCATCCTTTTCCTTTCACTCCTCAACTCCTCCCCCAAAACTGCTCCTCTCGCGGGCCATCCTTTCCCTTCGCCTGACTTTTCAACCTTATTCGCTCCTTTACCCGTCTACCTAGTCAGTCGCTCTCCATCGAAGGGAGGAAAAGGTTTCCCGCTTTTGTTCTGTTCTTCCTTGCCACCCACCTATACAGTCTACTCGCTCCTCTTGCGATTTTAGCTGTCCGTTCCTTTTTTTTTTGGCTCACGCTCATCTTGGGTTGCTCATCGCATTAAGACGACGCCAGTCGTCCTTACGTGGGCCGTTCCTCGACGCGCGCAGACATATCACAGTCACGCTTCTGGCGTCGCCTGGCCTAGCTGACTCGACGGCACACTGTTGGATCCCTTCCATCTTCTCCTCGCAAGGCTTTGTGTCCGGATCCGGTTTGGACTTGCACTCTAAGCGGTTGAACCTCGACGTTCCCCTCCCCCAGAGTCCGACTTCATCGCATCTCGAAATCATCCCAAGTCGCACTTCCACACATCCCCAGACAACGTAGACATACCTCCACGCCATCGACAAACACGCCCATCATGGACTACAACCAGCATCACCACCCGTCAAACTCAATTGACAACGCCGCATATCCCGGAGACTCGAGCTACCAGCCCGGCGGTCACCCCTCCAACTCCATCAGCAATGCCGCCTACCCTTCAGACTCAGCCTACCGGCCATCTGACCCGACGATGCCCACCGACGATAAGCTCGCCATGCCTAATGCCCGTTACTCTCAATCCTACAACAACAACAACAACAACAACAACAACAACAACAACAACAACAACAACAACCGCAATGCCAGTTCCGGCGCCGCCAACAGCAGCGGCAGTACACAAGCACAAGCGCAGTTTCCGCCGTACCCAACCAATGCTCCAGCACCTTTCCAGCAGTCGCCAGGTTGGAACCAGCCGCCGAACCACGATCCGTTGTACTCTCCCGCTCGTGGGCCCATAGCACCGTGGACCCCGGATGGCATGTCCGCCGCGAACCCTAACCTCCCGCCGCCACCGCCGTACGACCCCTCGAGGCCAGGCACGGGGACCACCAACCCCTCGACGCCCCGCGATCCGATATCACCAAACCCGTCAGAGAGTGCCCTTCTCAGCGGACAGCAGCAGCAGAATGCAGCGCACGCCCCGCGACCTCAGAGTAACTACACCAGCACCCCACAGCAAGCTCCCGCACCGGCGGCAGCTCACGTAGCCGACGCGGCGCCGGGACAAGGGGAACGGAGCGGGCCGCGCGCCTATTTGCAATCGATGACGGGCGGGATGCCGGCGTACGGCAATAGTCCAGGACAACTTGGCCCGGTGGCGCAAGCGAGGAAGAAGAGAAAGATGAAGCTTGGCATTCTCGCTGGCATACTCTGCGCTGTCTTGGTGTTCCTGATCGCGTTGATTGTGGGTGTGCTGGTGGGCATCGTCAAGGTCAACCAAAAGGATGACAAGCCGCCTCCGTCTAATGGACCGCCGAGGCTCTTTTAATTTGCAGACACTTCTGCGAGTGGCATGCCCTCCGTTACTACGATATTTATGCGTAGCTCGTTACTGCCATTCCGCCCTCCAGTTCCCGGACAATTTCCTCCCAAAAGGGCGATTCAACTTCACCGATACCCAACTTATTTATTCCAACATATTCTCTCCCTCGTTTTCTTCTTTTCTTATGTGTTCATTATAACACCACACAAACTTTGTCTTGGCTAACTTTGGTTGGCTTTGGACAACTTTGATTTAATTGAGCGTCGCTTACGCAGGTGGAGGATGGATCAATGCATGAGGAGGGGAGGACGACACGAGGAAGCGACGTTTAATGTCTTTTTTTTTCTTCTTCTTTTCTTTACACTTCTTCTTTTTTCCTCCTTAGCTACATACGATTTCTGGAGTAAAAAGTTGACTTGAGGACCGGATTTGCGGAGGATTGAGAAACACCGGCGACGTGTTTTCTTGATCTTGGAACCATCAATAGACGAAAGCTGTGGCTTTGCTGAAGAGCGGCTGCCCAATGAGATTGAAATGACATCAAGCGTTTATTTGTTCAAAGACTTTTGAGTGGTGATCCATGTTCTCCGTGAGGGAGTCTCGTGAACGGTGGAGTTGCTTGAGACTGGTTTTCTTCTGATCAAAGTGAATTAGTTATGTTTCTAAGCTTGGGTGTTGCGATCTAAGCACCGCCGCCTGCTATCCGTTGGATGAGAAACGAGGGAGATGGATATTCGAGACTCGGCGGCCCCTTCTAGCACGGTGAGCCAGCATCATAGATACCAGAAGAGTCCTAGCTCCCTCAAGACTGCTGTTGTTTCCTTTTGTTCGTCGTACTTCAACACTCAAAAGCCAGGAACGCGGATTCTGAGAAAGGTGGCACTGCTGCGACTTATACTTGTTTTCTATTGTTCTGATGTCTCTTTAGGGAATACACGACTTATGGAGTTCTATTCTAGAACACTTTCTTTTCTAGTATATTCGGGAATGAAAGGCATCCAGACTGCGCATCAGGACTACTCAGGGTCGGAAGATGTCAGTTGGGAATAGAAACATCAGTTACACCTCTTCTTGTCAAGACGTCGACTGTCTGCGCAGAAAGGTTGCTACAATCGCCCGCTCCGCTGCTCCAGCCTTGCTGTTCTCAGGGTTTCCCCGGCATGCACGAGAATGAGACGAGGAAGACGCTGGGGGGGGGGGGGCTTGGTCCGACTTGCTCTTTGCTTTTGTGCTTACTGACGGGGAGGGAGAACTTTACGTACTGACGGCGCGTTGGAACTGGATACTCTTCGTGTGGGCTGCGTCTTGGTCGCTATGGAGGTTCAAGAAGACTGCTACGTGTGTGTGAGAGTGTAGGCTCGCTTCGCGCTTTGCTTGATTGGTCTGATAGTCACATTGTGCTTGTAGATTTTAACCGTGTCGACTTCTCCCATTCGTGGAGTACTTCAACTCCAAGACCTGACTTTTTGTAAGTTGTGATGGCGGCTAATTTGCCAAGGGAACGTCTCCTGCTTCTCAGTTCATGAATCAATTGGCCATGGGGATGTGAGTAGAGGAAGAGGGGATAAACACTAGCCAGCTGACTGAAAGACTATATCTGATATCAGCTTTAGCATTTCACGCAGCAGTTTGTAAAGTTATATCGATAGCCCAAAGAGTAAGCGGGAGAAATCTACCAGAAGATGCAGAATATCGCCTACGTGATCCCGGCGACTTTGGCCACGGGATTGCGCAAACGGGGACCCTCGCGATGCAAACGTTGAGCGGATAGCCCCTTCCTTCTTCTCATCTTGTTGTCGTTGACGTCGACCTTTTCATAATCTCCCAGTCACACTCCCTCGTCGTCTCTTCCTGACAAGCATAGAATTGCTCGACCGAGTGTAATTTCTGCGCATCCACGTATCAACACTCTGACGAAGGCGTTTCGAGGCTTAACCTGGCGGAACTGACTGGATCGATTTCCACGGAGGTGAACTAGAACTTCATAACGCGCAAGTCCGTGGTACAATAGCCAATTCGTCATCTCTGGTGGTCTGCCATCGAGGGTATATTCACCTAACACGAGAGAGACAGAACCTAAACCTAGAGACAGGAGACAATGAAGCTACTTTCGTGACTGCGAGGCGGTTTGTGAGAAGCTATCTGCGTTTCAAGTCACCTTGGTTCAGGCCAAGCAACTCGTGAATGGAGATACGACGCCCTCGCTTGGTGCCTCTCCCAGCGGCCTCGGAGATCTCGTCCTTCGATGCTGTCCGGTACGCTTTAGAGGAACTATTACAGCATAACGGAGCTCCGCCGTTACCGACTCTCTTATATTTTGCAGTTAGATTCTGGCGAGATTGTGGGTATCTGGGCTGCTTGGGTAACCGATACTGCGATTGTCGAGTATTACGATGCATTGAAATAAGCTCTGGGTTGGGACCAGCCGGATTTCCGAGTCTTCAATTTTTGCTGCCTGTGAGCTCTGGGCTTAAACTGATCGTGCCAACAAACCTTGACAATATCTTTCCCTGTTCAAGCCCAGGTCAAGGCTGCGGTCGTCGAGCCAAAAAGATCACCTCGGACACCCAGATATGAGACAGTCAGATATACGACAGGTCGACCTGACGGTCGGGCAGTCGTTTATGACTACAACCAACTTAACTCTCAGTTTCCTTCCTTTCATCCACGCACCATTCGCCACAACCGAAGCAGATAGACTATTCGGAATGCTTGGCAACTAGTCCACGACACGATGCTGCTTTCTGCTTTCGTACTTTCGATTCGTCAATTCACTGCGATACTCATTATGGGGCACCTTAGCCACAGGTGGCAAGTAGGGAGGATGTCTCGCGTGCATCGGCGGTGTTTTTCGTTGTACGCCTACCTACCTCGACCGACTAGACCTTATATACCGTAGACTCCATGCGTTTTGAGGCTTGCACCGCGTCACCTGTGATCCTTCAACTGGCACTTTCCAATCAGAGGAATACTCAGGTTAGTTGACATCTCGACAGTCCTTTGCAGGGAAATTGGTCTTCATCTAGCAAACCCGTCGAACGCGGGGAGACGCCCCTCCTCCCTTGACCGCTCCCGGCCAAGGAGATTGATGGGAGCTGGACATCGAAGCTGATACAGGTGGTGGTGCTGCCTCATGGTTCTTTCCGTAGGTGCAAACTGACACGGGCTACAACCTTCAAAGTCCAAGGGATCAATTGCGCCTATTCCCCATGGTGACGCTCGTGACCACACTGTGTTCATGGCCCGTTTTGGAGACTGTTGGCCGTAGATTGAGTCCTCATTATCAAATTGCCCGGACCATCTATCTACCCTCTTTGAGATGGACCGTTTTCGATTACGGCGTATCAATGCAGGCGGAAGATAACATCTTCTAGTAATCATGCAAGCACAGAGACACATGCAGCGGACGACAGAAAATGCGAAATCTCCGACATTGAAAGTCAGCTGCTCAACGACCAATCCGAACCCGAAGCCTCGGTTGACGCGTAACGACAGAGCCTCATGTAACCTGCACCAACATACCAGGGAGAGACGGAACGTGGGCAGTGAGGGTTGCAACAGTCACATGCTTTCGAACGTGGGCCAGCCAGCCTGCTCGTCAACGATCGTCACATACCATTATCACTTGTCACAAATCGGACAGTTCGCCCGATAGAGCTTTACAGCTTATCCAAAGCATGCGGCCAAGAAATACCATCAATTCTGGCCCATATGGGGGGGAGGGGGATGAAAGCGAGCAAATCCCTAACTCCCTCAATGGACCCCACACACAGCTGCTGTCAGCCTCGCTCACTACCTTTGTAGGACACACCAGTTTGTTTTTCCTAACGCCCGATGAAGCCGAATCCCGCCCAAAAATCTTGTTTTTTGGTAAGTAAAACTCCATCCCTTTGCCCTACTGTTTTGTTTTGTCTCCTTCCCCAAAGGTATGATGAGAAAAAAATAGAAGAGAAAATCAACGACGAAAATGAAATGAAATGAAGTAAGCTATGTGATGTGGGTGATGGGTCTTTGTCCAAAGTTCGTCCCGTCGTAAAAAGAAAAGGAGGAAAAAAATAGCAAGTCTTTCTGCAGTTGGGAATCTTGCTGCTGCGATGCTCAAAGATGAACCGAAATTGATCTCCTATGCTATCATCCAGCTGTCCTCGGATGGAAGTTTGAAATGAAGTCGTAAAGCGTACAAAAAGCCGTGTCGGAAACATAGGTGTAAAACTTCATTGCCGCGAATTTGATGTCGAAATTTTATGAGAGGGTATGTTGTGCCGATGAGACAATGTCGTCTTGAGCGCGAAAGATAAATGTAAAAGGAAACATGAAGGGCCTGAATGAGTGTGTCCCTTTTCTTTGTCGGGGTTGAAGCATACGAATGCCGACTGCGGAATGCGTCGAATTTTAATGTGAACCGTTTGATCCGTAGATGCTGACAACAAAAAGCGCCAGGTACTTCCACTTGTAGGGGAGATCCGTGGTTAGTGGGCGTCTCGGCCTTGTACGTGTCGTCGATAGAAGGGCATGATCGGCAACTCAGAGAATCACGCATCGGTGACCGTCAGGGCGTCTGCGTCTTCGGTGCTTCCGCTTGGCAAAACCCATGAGGCCTGGGTTTTTCTCGTACTCGTGATCGTCGTCTTCGTGAGCGGCTTGGTTTTGAAACTTCTCGTCCTTCATGAGAAGCTGGCGGCAAATGTCTATAAATACAGCGTCGACGTTGGCTGATGAGTCTAGTTAGCATCATCTTGTCTAAGTACCTCGCTATCGGCTTACTTCGTGTCCTTGCACTCGTCTCGTAGTAAGGCGCATCCCACATCTGAGAGCATGCAAAAGCCCTTTGTCTAGGTACGGACCGCTGCTCTTCCAAGTCGGCCTTATTGCCGACGATGACGATGGGGACATTGTCGTCGTCCTTGATACGGGTGATTTCCTCTCGGAGCATCTCAATCTCGTTCATTGACGAGGATGACGTGATGCTGAAGACCAGAATGAAGCCTTGACCAGATTTCATATAAAGGTCACGCATGGCAACTGGATTGACGGTCAGCTAGGGGCTTGGACGAACTACATACAAAAGTTGCTTACCGAACTGCTCTGTGCCCGCGGTGTCAAGGCTGATCTATTGTTAGATGGATGGTCTCACGGCAGCTAAAATGTGCCCTCGTTACTCACATTTCCAAGACCACTTGCCGTCCCTGGAATGAATCGAGTCAGTGATTCGTCGCAACAAGTAGTACCCGCATAAGATCAACTCACATCAACCTGTAGTTGTGTCCGGTAGGTGTCTTCAATTGTCGGGTCGTAACTCTCGATCCACTCATTGTGAACGAATTGGGCTTTTGCATTGGTTAGCTGAGCTGCACATTTGACACGAGACGAGCACTGCGCTACGCGGCGCTCACCTGTTAAGCAACTCTTTCCAACACCTCCTAAATGCAAAGTCAGTGGGCCGCGCACGTGACAGGCGTAATTCTCAACAAGGACTCACCAGCACCCAGCACCACGACATGCAGCTCACGACTACACATAATCAGCTTGCGCTCCCTATATCTCTCTCCCTCAAAGTTGGGCTGGCATCGTTGCGGAGCATACCATGACTGATGATGCCTGTTGTGGCGTGACATGGCGTCTTTGCTGGCCAAGCTGCGACCTGGTTGCTGTTGGTTTTGTGTGTGTCCTTGCGAGAAAGATGTCTGAGCAGCTCAATTCAGATGATAGAAAAGAGCCGGGACGAATTGGTGTGTTGGAAAAGCTTCAACAGCTGGTCGTCTTCCTTTGAGGAAGGGCCGCCGGGCTGAGTACTTCACAATCGGCGCGTCATGCGGCAAGGGACGACAGCAAGGTTAAATAGATTGTCGGCGAGGCGGAGGGTTTGGTATGGCGGAGAAGTGGTGAGGTCCGAAAGCCAGGTAGCGGAATCGAGGCTGCGGATTGCCGTGCAAATCACTCTATATCGGGAGTGGATGGGCGCGATTTCCAGAGGACGCAACAAGGTACCTGGAAGGGACGAAGGAGAATGGCGGGGGGGGGGGGGTCCGGATCAATTGTAGTTGGAGCACAGGAGTGTCGAAGTTTGAAAGTCGGGGGCTCGGGTCAGGGAGCTCTGGGTCTGGCCCGTCCGAATTGATTGGAAGAGTGGGGACCACAGGAGACCAAGGAGGGGTGCTTTAAAGGGGCCCGAGGGGAGGGGAGGGGGGAAGTTGACGGGGAACGGGGGACGAGCAGGGGAATGGGAAAAATACAAAAGCAGAGTGACTGGATGCAGAGAGAGAAAGAAAGAGAGAGAGAGAGAGAGAGAGAGAGAGAGAGAGAGACTGGTAGAGGGGAGGCGAGAAGAGAAGTAGTAGGAGAGGATGAGAGAAAGGACACGAAGAATATGGAAACCCTGGAAGTTGTCAAAGACGATGAACAAGAATGGGAAAGTAAAAGAAGAAGAAACAGACAACGACGAGCCGGGTCAGGACAAGAAAAAAAGAAGAGTCAAAGTCCCCAACCAGCTCTCTTCCTCTCACACGCCAGCTGCCCAATTAAAAACAAATAAAGGGTGTTGGTGCAGCAGTTTTTGGTCGTTCTGTCGTCTGCAAGGGCCTCTCGCCAGCCAGCTGCGCTAAACTGAGGAGAGGGTAGCTAAGGCAAGGTAGGGTAGGTGAGAGGTACCTTGCTGGGGTACTTGGTGACCTGGGCGTCTGGAGGACCCCCCCCCCATAGATAAGGCGCCCTGTTGTTGGCGCCCTGTGGACGAATCTGGTGAGGTAAAGTCGGGTAGTCGGGTTGAGTAAGGTAGCTAGCTGGCTGAGGTCCTGAGCGGGTACGTACAGCTTCAGGTATAGCACAGTCGGAGCTGAGCAAGACGACGGGAGCGTAAGGGAGATGAAGGTTTACGGATACTGGGTGCCAGGCTACGTCAGTACGAATACTGAACTGCACGAGAAGGCCAGTTGCAGTACAGAGTATGGTCCCCGGTTGAAGAGGGTGGGGATATCTAGAGGCAGACAAAAAGGCAAGGGAGGCCAGTACTGGTCAATGGCCGTCGATCACTGTTGCAGCTTCGCCTTGCGATGAACAATCGACAGCGCCCAGAGGCTGATGAGGGCAGGTTGGTGGCTGGCTGATCTGGTTCGATAACTCTGTTCAACTAAGGTTATTTCCGCTTGCCGGCTGCCGAGATGGATGACACTGGCCACCGGACGTAGGCATTTGGAGAGAAGGAAAGCAACAGAAGAGCAAATCCGGTTCATTCAGAGTGGGTTCAGCATCCCAAGCAGGAGAAGAAACCCTATTAGGCCGCACTCGATGCTGAGTCTCAGACGAGCGGCAACGAGATAGAGAGAGGGTGATGAGATATGTGGAATTGGATGCGGGTGCACGCTGAGAGACACAGCCGCCGGGTGACATACCGTTTTTGACCAGGGTGTCTAGTCGAGCGAGCAAGCCTAGGAAGTCAAACGACTAGCCGGAGGTGAGAAGCGAATTGTGGCGAGTAGAAAGACAGGACGTAATGGAGGTGACGCGAGTAGGCAAGGTGCGTGACGGGACGCGATGCGATGTAGGTGATGTGACTGATGACTGGCAGGTGAATGGACGAGTGAAGAGAGAGAGAGGCTTTGCCAGGCTAGTTGATGCTGACGACTAGTCGATTCGACGGGTCGACGGGAGGGACCATGCAAGACAGCCAGAGAACCAGATTTTACCGCCAACCTGAGGGTGAGAATTGGCTGTGCATTGTGAGAATACAAACGGGACAGACTTCCTACCTAGATGCCGGGCTGCAGTGCTGCAGTGCTGTACCCTTGGAGAAAATCCCCACGTACTACGTAAGGTATTAGGTATGAAGGCGGAAGAGGAGAAGAAGGGTGGAGAGTAAGAGAAGCATGTGGGATTGTCTCACAGATTGGAAGCCTCCTGTCTCGAAATAACGGAGAGGCTGACACTACTGTCGGACGCTTGCGCGGTAGCTTCAACGTCGTCGCTATTTAGGGCAGAGAACCGGGGACGGAGCTTTGATGACTTTGTCGCAGGGCTTCAAAGGAATGGGTTTTAGCTGAAGTCGAGGTTGGCGGTCATCATTGGCGTGTTACAGTGTAGGGAGTTGGGCGTGGTGGTGTGGTGCTTGAGCGTCATGTTGATCCGGGGGCCACCGGCCGGACAACGTTGGTCAACTTACACTGCCTTACATAGTGAGGTAGGTAACTGAGGTCGGGAGCGGTTGCGTTGCGACGTCCAACTTTTGGAGACTCTTTTTTTTGTTGGTTTCCCCGTCCACTCCAACTCCAATCCTTGCCGTCTTCCTTCTTTCCTGAAATGGAACTGTGCCCTTTTGGTGTGAGGCACTGCGGCGCGAGGCAAGATCCAATGGGTGTCGAAGTAGTCGAGGTAGGGTTCCAATTGGGCCCTTCGGCAAGCGACACTTTGCCATTGCAATGATTGGGTAAGGCGGCGTGGCATCCCGCTCACACGACGACGGCGGCGGGGATTATTGAGGAAGGTCCTGAGGATGAGGTGCTTGCTGGCCTCTGACTTTTGGCTTCTGGCTTGTCTCTTCGCGGAGGCGGAGGCGGGAAAAGAGGATGCGATGCCGTGCCGTCTCTTGGCTGCCTTTTTGACCGAGGCCGACGGGATCCAAGTAGAGTGGTATTTGGCTCAAGTAAGGTAGGTTGGTAGGTACTTTGTTTCTGTGACCAGCTTCCAACAAGCCATGGCTTACGTAGTAGGTAGAGTACGGATAGAGTAAGGTACAAGTAGGCATGACACCTCGGGATACATCTTCATATTGTCAGTAGGCTGGATACTATGGAATAATTAGTGACCGGATAGGTAGGGTACGAATACTCCCGTAGTCTGTACGTATGCGTATCCGTATCCGTATGCATAGCATAGACCATAGCAGTCTGTAAAGCAACCTCGTTTCGGCCGGCACTTTTTGAGCTGTCGACAGGCTCAGAGTCCGTGGGTTCAGCGTGGGAACGGGTCTCTGTCCCAATGTAGCTGAGTCAGGGTTTGTCTGCCGTTTAGCCAGAGCAAGACTCCAGTTGAGTGCAGCGCGCACGAACACAGCTCCTGCATAGGTGGGACTCTCCAGTCTTGTCCCACCCGTCCCATGTGGTGAGGTTCCTCTCTTCCCATGTGTCTTCAGGGCTAAGGAGAGAGGGGGCGACGCCGCAACGGAGGTGCCAGTGTGCCATGGTGCGTATGTACTCCGTACGGATACCTAGGTAGTCGAGGCGGGCAGTTTGCGTGGGCTCTGGATAGTCGCCGGGCCTCTCACGGGCAAGCAAGGCCCATGGCCGCCATGCGCAGACGGGCTCTCGAGCCCCTCCCCGGGCAGTGTCGAGCAAAGTTGACAGGACGTGTGGTGGTGCCCTGGTCCTGTGGATTTCAGGTCGCAGTGGATTGCCGAGAAGGCATGTTTTAGCGCGCTCCGTGATGTTTCCGTTTCTGCTTCCATCCCATGTTCCCATGTTCGTTCGTTCCGCAGATGGAGTCTTGCTGCGTGCTGGGAGCTGCGTGCATGGGAGATAGTGGGCACCGAAAGCGCAGGTGGACAGCTGCAGGTGCAAGAGCAGAGATGCAGATGGATGCTTGCCCCATTGCTTACCTTGAGGCTTGAGATACGGACTGTTAGTGTTAGGTATTCGTACCTACCCTCAACGTGTGAAGGCAGAGATACTTCAACGTGGTGTCTTGGGACAGGGAAGGAACCAACTCGTGGTTTATCCCCGAGTTCCCAGTCTCTCTTACCTCACCTTCATGGTTTTCTGCCGCTGCCTTACCTTATACGGAGTACACTATCCGCAGTGTACCCTCACAGTCAGAGGTTTCTCACTGTGACTGAGGCAGGCGCGCGATCCCCCGGCCCCAACATGGAAGGGACATGGAGACATGCGGCTGCCGTTCTTTCCTTCTCCTTTTCTTTGCGTCCTTCCTTCCTTTCCCATGCCGCGCCATGCCTTCCCTGCCGTTTCCTTTTCCAGGCATCCCACAGTGTACCTGCCATCACCATCATCATTACCTGTATCATCCATCATCCATGCCTTCCTCCCAACTACACGCTGTCTCCGTCTCATCCTTTCCCAACATGAAGTTCCCGTCGCTACTGTACTTGATAGATTTACATTGGATTCCAATTCGAAGGCCCGAGTTCATGTGGTAGTCACTGTGTCATGGACTTGGTATGAATGCATACCTCAAGTAACTCACTTTTCTTTCCGACCAATTCACACTTCACAACTCGTCGCCTTATGTGACCATGTTTAGTTGCACCTGCTTGCTTCAGCCGTGATGCTCCTTCACTCCTATCTTTTTTACATACAATCCAAGGCCTTGGCCCAGGACTCAATTGGAAACTTCCAGTTTGCTACAAGTGTCAATTGGATTAGGGAGGCACATAAGAAGGTACTCAGGCAAATATCTCCACCCAAGGTCCCTCGTTCCCCACAGCAGTGAGCTTTCCAACCTCAAACTTTGACTTTGCCTGTACAGAGTATCACGCAGCTTCAACCACCTTAGCTCTTACTGCTCGATCCTTCCTCGTTGCTGCAAGGCTGTCATCCTGGCAGGTAAGTCTAGGCGACGCCGCGACGGGACCAGTGCTAGAACTTGATCCAACTTCCAAGGCGACACCGTGAAGAACCGCCGCACTCAAGCACTCGACTACATGCAGGTGCCATGCCATTGAGGAATCCATCCTGCGACCTGCAACCTGCATCAATGCCAGTCTCCCA